CTTTTTTTCCAACGCTTTCCAAAGCACTTCTTTGGTATACGGTCATAAGCTTTTTCCAAATCAATAAAAACCATGTGTAGATCTTTATCTTTACAACGATACTTTTCCATTAATCCCCTTAGTAGATAAATCGCCTCTGTAGTTGATCTACCTGGCATAAAACCAAATTGATTCTCAGAAATACTTGTCTCCAATCTCAACCTGTGCTCAATTACTTTCTCCCACAATTTCATTGTGTGGCTCATGAGTTTAATCCCTCTATAGTTAGTACAATTCTGAATATCTCCTTTATTTTATAAATAGGAATTAATGTACTTCTCCTCCACTCATCAGGCATTTTCTTGGACCGTAAAATCACATTAAATAACTTAGTTAACCATCTCACCCCTTCTTCACCTAAACATTTCCACGCTTCGATAGATATACAATCAGGTCCGTTAGCTCTACCATTTGCCATTTTCTTAAGAGCTTCCTTTACCTCCTTATCACGTATTTTTCGATAGAATGACAAATTTTGTTCTCCTTCACCAGTTACTAAATCCTCCAAGTTACTAGATGAATCCTCTCCATCATTGAAAAGTTTAGAAAAATAAGTCTCCCATCTATTTTTAATTTCATCATCTGTAACTAAAATTCTTCCCTCTTCATCCTTAATACACCTTACCTGTTCTAGATCTCTTGATTTTCTTTCCCTACTCTTGGCAATCTTATAAATATTTTGCTCTCCTTCCTTCGTCTCAAGGTTCTTATAAAATTCTTCAAAAGCTTTAGAACGAGCTTCACCCACAGCTCTCTTAGTTTCCTTCTTAGCCATACGGTACCTCTCCCAATTTTCCTCATTGTTACACAAATGTATGGCTTTAAAACAGTTCTTCTTATACTTGATTTTGTCCTGTACACTATTATTCCACCACCAAGACTCCTTATCTCTCGGACCAGGACCTTTCGATTCTCCCAAAACTACTTTTGCAACCTCCCGTATCTTTTTAGCCATATCCTCCCAGATGATGTTAGCACTTCCTGAGAATTCCAAATTCCTTTATCCAAAAGATTTCGCTTGAAAATATCTTGCTTCTCACCTTTTAATTGCCACCACCTAATCCTTGGTGTTACTACTTTTCGACGTTTTTGGATTTTACTCATAATACACACATCAAGGACTAGGACCCTATGTTGTGTCGTTACAGCATCTCCAGGGATCACCTTACAATTTTTACAAAGTTTTCTATCTGTGTTCCTAACCAAAAGAAAATCAATCTGCGACCTTGAGGCTCCACTTTTGTAGGTGATGAGATGCTCATCTCTCTTCTTGAAACAAGTGTTGGCAATCTTAAAATCATACGCCAATGAGAAATCAAGAAGAGTTTGCCCTTCATTGTTTAGCTCTCCAAAACCAAAACCACCATGCACCCTCGCATACTGACCAGCTTCCCTCCCGACATGCCCATTAAAGTCTCCTCCAATAAAAATCTTTTCACTCTGTGGTATGTGTCGAATCAACCCCTCCAGATCCTCCCAAAATAATTCCTTAAGACTGGCTTCTGTCCCGACTTGTGGCGCATAAGCGCTAACAATATTAACAGTCTCACGTCCAATTATCATTTTTAAAGAAATAATTCTGTCTCCAATTCTGCTAACTTCTACAACGTTCTTCTTCCACTCTTTATCTATAATGATGCCTACTCCATTGCGTGCACTTACTTTTCCTGTATACCAAAGTTTGAAACCTTGAATATCCTTAGCTTCTTCTCCACGCCATTTTGTTTCTTGCAAGCAAAGGATATTGATTTTCCTTTGAATCATAACCCCTACAACCTCTACAGATTTACAATTTAATGTCCCAACATTCCAAGTACCAAATCTAATTTTGCTCTTATGGACTAACTTCTTTAGCCGCGTGTGTCCAGAATGACGCGGTAGCCCTTGCTCATTTAACACTACATCCGGGCGCCGATGCAGCGGCTCTAACTCACTTATCACTGTACTCGAGCCATGCAGCGCGTTACTTACGGGCAACGACCTAGCATTAACATTATAACGTCTATTGTCCATGTTCATGATAGATTCAACAAATTTTTACATTGGCTGTTGATGGCCTAACACAACCCTTCTCCTTTACCCGGGCTTGGGACCGGCTATAAACATAGGAGGAGGGTCTACAAATGTTAATTTAATATTTATTTAGGAGCAGCACGATGCAAACACATGATTTTATGTAGCTTGATGCATTCTTAACTCGTTGGTTAAACCATATTCTTGCTCCATAATAATTGCTAATATATAAAAGGGGTATCTTCATCCAAGTACACTATATAAGCATAAAGAAAATTATAACATTCACATATGATCATAATGTTACATTTAAATTGATCTTGTGTGACAGTAGCTTCATAAATTGAATTTTAAAATTAACTCACTACTCCATGCTTAGTCCCTAAGTAATAGATTTTGGAGGAGGTAGACATATCTAGAGTGTAGTACTCGATAGAATACTAAATGTTGGAATGAAATCACGAGATTGGACTCAGTTTGTAAACTCACAACAAATGCATAAGAAGGAAAGCAGAGTATGACGAGATGAAACTTTGGTTATGGACACATTGAATATAAATTGCCTGCAATGTCTCCCATAAAACCACTCACTTGATGATCAATATGAAGAATGTGTCTATTGGGTAGAAAAAACCGTTTTCTCCAACATTCAAAATGACTATGAGAATATTATGATTCTGACCTCGATTTTATTACATGCAAGGGCTCAGACTTTTTTAATATTCTTATAAAGCCTCCACTTTAATTCGGCTTATATTGAACTTTGATTAATCAAGTGTGAATAATCCAACGCTAAACTTACCTTTTTTTTTTTTTTTCAAATTCCCTGTCTAGTACAAATATTGAAGAAGTTATGTAACCCATATCAAATAATACAAAGACTTAAAAAAAAAAAAGCATCATATGAACATAAAAATGAAAGAGAAATGGATAAAGACATCATTAGATTTTTTTATGAAATGGTGTTAAGTTATAAAAAATAATTGAAAAACCGTGTTTATTGAAATTCTATACCACTGAAAGAAGTACCCATCAAAAGAAAAATTCATGAATACAAAACATGATGAACACTTCATTTCCAAACTTTTGTACATATACCTCCTCAATTTATTATGGAGACCATAATTTTTCAAAAAGAATTGAAGGAAGAAGACGCGCAAGCATGAGATGAGGAAAAGACACAAGAAAAAAAAAAAAAGAACATTGCACAAACATGAAAGAAAATGAAGAGGCAAGCTCAAATGACGTGGGACCAATATTATATTTGAAAATTGAAGGGGTAAGGCTTGAAAATTCACTGTGCAATGAACAGTGGAAAGCGTCCCTTGAAAAAAAGAACGAACTAGAGCAACGAATAATTTTTAGAAATGATAAGGACAAAGATGAAAATTTATTGTAGAAGGAACAATACAAACAATATATTCGCTCTGTCTTAAATTATAGGATACTTTTAAAATAATTTTTTTATTTTAAAATATAATACATTTTAAGTAGATTAGGGTTTTATTAAATGCACCAATTCTAATATTATATTTTCTCTTTTTATAATTAATTTTCGTCTCCTCTATTTTCGATATATTAAATAATGAGTATTTTTAAAAGTTTATATTTTTATTTTGAAAAGAAAAGATTGTTAAGTATATTTAATAAGATTTATTGATATGTAAAATTTTGACTTAAAGTGTATAATAATTTAAGATGTAGAGAGTACTTTACAAGAGATATATGATGAGATTACAAATTATAATATAGGAATTAAGTTAAAATATAATTACAACTACAACTGACGAAAACACATGTTTAAGTGTTTAACCGTGTATTGTGCTCAAACTTATGAAATTAAATAAAGCGCTTCAAATTTTGCTACCCTGTCCCTAGTTTTAGCCTGCATGTCTTATAGATCTTCTCTTCTACCATTACGCTGGTTTAATCAATTAATTAACATTAGTCTCGGCTTTGGCATTCTAATATTATATAATAAATCATGGATTGACTATGACTTTGTCAAACAAAAAAGATTTGCTTAAAAATTTCTCCTGCTCTTAGCTTTAAACAAAATTATTAGTCTACTAATTTTAATCAATGATTATCGGCTTAGAGGTCCATTCTCTTCTTGTGGATGAATTTCATTCATTCCTATACATATGTGTGTCTATATTTTTCTCACACGATTTTCCTATCACATGAAAAATCATAAAATCACTCTCTTGAATATGACCCTTTTTTTCAGAAAGAAGAAAGACAAAAAAAAAATTCCTAGAATTAAAAAACTGAATTCGTAATGAGAATTAATATTTTAAGTGTATTCTTAATGAGAATTAATATTTTAAGTGTGGTTTAGTTAGATTTGACATTCTATAATTAATCATATATTGACCTTTTAACTTGGTTAGAAATAAAAAAGGAAGAATTCCTTTAAAATCCCACACAATACAATTAAATATTTTTTTACTCAGTTATCAATAGACCTTATAATATTTAAATACGTTATGTGGAATTTGTATAGAATTTTCCCAACAAAAAAACTCACTCCTACATCTCTCTTGTGCTTTAAATGCGTATTGGGCTGCAAATAGAATTGTACAGGCGATAATCTTTTTGCTGGGAACATATCTCCTTCATATGATTATTTAGAATCTGTTTAAAAGAGACCGAAATATGAGAGTGAGATCTACATAGATGAAATCTACTGACTTCATCTGTCGTCTCTATCTCTCTCACAAAATTTTCTCTTTCAACAAAAAAAAAAAGTCTTGAAGAAAGATTTTTTAAGCACAATTGAGGGTCAAAGAAGAGAAATTCCAACGACTACTTACAAAATTCTTGCAACTAAAACTAGTTACAAGTTCACAAAAAAAAAAAAAAAACTCAATCCTCCTCTGTTGCTTCTTTTTCTCCCTGCATGTTGGTTCATTAGCAATCACTCAATCCATTACGGAGGACGTTATTCAGACATGACTAACAAGTGTATCAGAGCCATCTTCCATTGTTTCCTCATCGTTGGGATGTCTATGAACATGATTTCCCAACATAGTTTGATCATATCCATATTGCTGCACAATAAGCACTGAAGATTTAGAATCAAAGCTATTGGATGCCAATATGTCACCTACAGCTCCAAGCTCAGGGCAATCACACCAGTCCATGAACCCTGAGAATATCATAGAATTCCTCCCTCTCCCTTGTCCCACTATGTACAAATGATAGTCACCTTCATCCAACTCATTTAGTAATGCAGGAATATCCTCACCCGTATGAACTTCTCTCTCCGAGTAAGCAATGGAGTCCTCATTGTGCATTGCCTTGAGTCTAAATAAGTTCACATACTCATCATCCAACTCTTTCTGCTTGGAGCTATCCAAAACTGTAGATAATATCCCTTTGGGTTCCAATTCAACTGCTTCCTCCACTTTAAATGTAGCTTCATCAGCCATAAGTACCCTCACCATCGAGAGTTGAACGCCAGGATGAGTTGCCATTCTCCAAGCAACAGCTAAGGCTTCACGATCATCAGGTCCACCAATGAAGATCATAAGAATACGACAATTGGTTTTAGAAAGTGAGAATATGCCTCGATCAACGAAAATCCCCACAGAACAAGGTGAATCTTGCATGACATTAGAGTTTATGTCTTTGTATGCACTGTTCAACATCTCTAGATAGCCTTCTGTGTTGACTTGCTTGTGAAAAGGGAGGAGGATGAGGTTGGTGTGTTTTTCATTTGCTGTGTTGTATATGTCCTCGTGGATGGTACTATAGCTAGACAAAACATTGAATGTTTCCACACGAATGGCATCATTTAACTCGGCTAATACTTTGAAGGTGTTGGTAATAACTTCTAGCTCAGCTTGTGATTGACTATGATGTTGTGTTCCTGGGTGTGAAAGATGTTGGCTCATGTGGTCAAGGAGCACGAAAGCACCACGACTTGTAAGTTCAACAAGGTAAAGTGCACCCACATAGACGGGGGAAAATCTGGAGGCATGGAAGCATTCAATAATCTTTACCATGCTGCTGGCATGGCGATTGTTATGCACACAAGCCAAAATCCGGAGTTCCGCATCAAGTCTTGAATTCTGTATAGTTCTCATCTTGTTTATCTTAAATCGCTTTCTTGGTTTGTAAGCGACGTTGGTGATAACTGAAGATGATATAGTCATTATAATAAGAGCAGTGACTAGAATTGAGTAGGATGAGACCGTCAAAATCTGCAAAAAGACATGCAGACACGTAAGAGTTAATTGGTCATGTAATCAAAGTGGCGTCTGATCAAATGTTACAAGTCAAATTGATGTATACCTGTCTATCCCACCCCATATTAAGCATGATCAAAGCGACGACACCCTTGGTGTTCATAAGCACTCCAAGTCCCAGACCATCTCGAATAGGGATACCATAAGCAAAAGTAGCCACCAAAGTGCTGAGAATCTTTGGGATGCATAATAAGACGATAATGAGCATTGAAAAGGCCCAATTTCTGTGAGATAGAGCCTTTACCAAGTCCATTCTCATACCAGAGCCTGCAAAAACCAATGGTGCTAGAACACCAGAAGCAAAATCATCAGCTGCTGACATCATCACACTTGTGAATCTCCCATGAGGCAGAATCAACCCAAACACAAAAGCCCCAACAATGCCAGAGCCAAGGACGTCTGTAATATATGCACATATTATAGTTCCCATAAGCACATATAGCAGCCTATGATCATTCCATTCTTCTCGATCTGTCTTTCCATCAATAATTGGCGTGATAATAGGACGAACCACAAAGATGCAGAAAGCAATGAATGCCATGGTACTCATCACAGTGTAGATTGCTCCAGGTCCATCGTCAAGGGTAAATGGAATCATTAACATAAACAGAAGCCAAGAACAGGAGTCGCTGACTATGGCTGCATCTAAAGCTGATCTGCCTAGCTCGGTATAAAGGAGCTTGAGGCTGGCAAGGATTTCAGCAAGTATTGGAAAACCTGTGACCGTAAGACACAGAGACCATAACAAGCAAGCTTTGACAGGATCACTTTCAATGATTTCATTAGTCTGAATGTCGTAAGTTTTTCGATGCAGAGCATATATGATCACTCCTAATGCCATTGGAATGATTATACCAGTCATTGCAACACTAATGGCCTTCTTTGGTGCTCGTAGGACGTTGTCTAAGTTCATCTGCAAGCCAGTTAAGAAGGCGTAGAAGATTATACCTATACTGCTGAAGACTTCAATATTCAGGATTCCCCGTATAGGAAAAAGAAGGAGGAATATTATCGGTATTTCACCCAGCATATCTGCACTTAGTATGAAACCGGCCTGCACGTAGATTTAGATCAATTACTTACAAGTCAGAATGCAGGAGAATCATTCCAAGAGCTTCATTTTGTGTTATGCAATTAAATTCCAACACCAATTAAGATGCCCGGAGCAAAGAAAAAAGAGAGATGTTTGTGAATAAAAGCCGTGAATGTAGAAACTTACAAGAACTTCAGCAACAAGACGAGGGATGTGCAAGGGTCGAGTGATGAGGATGAAAAGACGAGTGACGAATATGGTCCAAAAAGTTTGAAGGGCGAGAATAGGAAGCTCCGATCCATAGATATCACTGGTTTTCCAGACGGCATTGGGGTTTTTCACAGTGAGATTATAACACAAGAAGGGATTCTGCACAAGCATGGCTTCTTCTTGTTTTGTTTTCTGCAGGTATTGCTGCTTTCTCCTGAGAGACCAATGAGAAAAGAGCCGTTGAGTTTGTGAGGAACGAATCAGGCAATGGAGATTTATATATGAAGCCATGGAGCAGAGGAAGAAATGAAGGAGGAAGAAGTAAGTTGTAACGACATTCCAAATATCGGGTTTCATTGGAGGTGGCACATGATACACCCGACCTGTATGTAACTGTAATGGTGCGTTCAAGGTTCCGTCCTTCGCGTTGTTATACCCCCGATGACCTGTTTGTAATGGTATCATTGTAATGACATTATTATTATTATTATTAGTATTAGTATTCACACGTGTTTGTTATCTGTTATTACACGCGTTTATTACACCTGGCCATTTCACATTTTCACTGGACAAAATTAAATACCCATGCCATGCGCATAATATTAAGTAAATTTCCTTATTTAAAATTTATCTTCTAAAATTAATGCAAGCACATTCATTTATGTGAAAACCTGTGTAAATTCTAGTTAGTTTGCTCAATATAGGTATGCGTTGGTCTAAGTTAGCTCAAAATGTTGATAGTAAAGTTGACAATTCAAGTCAAACTCATCAGACTAGCCCAAACCAACTAAACAAGATTTAAGGTCGAGTTTAAAAAAAAAATTTTTATGTTCGGGTTTGGCCATGAATACTCAAATAAAAATATATAAAATATAATAAATATTAATTAATTTTTTAAATTTTAATTCATTTTATAGTAAAATACTATACATTTGAGTCTTATACACTGATTAAGTATCAAAAAAATATATTTTTTATAAAATAAAATAGTTAATTTTGAAGTAAAAAATTAATTAAAAATAATTTTAAAAATAAAATTTGATATTCTGGTCTTCCAAAGTCTAAAGAAATTTGAGTCAGCTTGACTAGTTGGATTTTTAAAAAATCAAGCCCCTTTGGCTTCATCCAAATTCTTAGCTCTAATTGATTGTTGGGACTCGAGATCTTATAAGAAAAATAATGACAATTGAGCTTTCATTACTTCCATTTAACTTTTCTTTGTTGTCAATTTAATTTCAATAATTTTCAAGCCAATGGCTTTATCCATCGTTACTCTTTCCATCAATTTTAAAAATGTCATTTTCCTCATTAAAAAAATATAATTTTCTGAAAAAAAATGAACTAAATTAAAAAGATAACACTTGTATCGAATAAGATTCTGAAATTTTAAAATGTCAAAGTAAAATTTTACTTTGTATCATGAAAAATTTATTGATTGATAATTGATAATTAATTGCTTTTTCTTTGACCAGATTGATAATTGAGTTTGATTGTTGAAGTAGTTGAATTTATGAGTAAAAACATTAAATTCAAGTAGTTTCAATTTCAATCATTAAAAAGGAGCGCGCAAAAAAGTAAAAACATGTGAGCACATACAAAAATGAAGAGAAATGCGAAGCTTATAAATACCAAAAAGAAAAAAGGGAAAAGAAAAAGAAAAAGAAAGAAATGGCCCGCTTATATTATGTGTAGCTGTTTTCTGCGCTGCCAATTTTCTAACCTGAGAAAATATCTTGCATATGACAGTCTACAGTTAGCAGCTCCTTCTTATCTTCTCGCTCTCTTGTTCTATTCTTTCGTCCTACTTTGCTTGCTTGCTTTTGATAAGGAGCAATAGACATGCATTCTTTAACTTGCATGCCCATTTCCTCTTCTTCTCACACCTTTCTGAAGCATAATCACCTCCCTTTTTTGGGTGATGTTTCGTCGAAGCCATGTCTTCCTTTGAAAAGAAGAGGCAATTTCACTACCAGAGCTTTACTCTCATCTACCAAAGAATCTGTCTTGAGGGATTTTCATGAACGAAGAGCTCTTAAGGTAAAGCACACCCATTTCAAGTCTCTCTCTCTCTCTCTCTCTCTGTCTCTGTGTCCTGCGCCACCTCCCCAGCCTTTTTCCTGAGTGCAAGCACAATTATTTTATTCTTTTGGATTTTAATTTTATTTCCGTTTCTCTAGGCCAATCCTGCAAATGCAGTGGCCTTTCTGTCCTTTTACTTCATGTCTTCGGCAATCGTAATATCCAAGCAGTTCATATTGTTTTAAAATTCATAAATATCAAACAAGGGGATCTGAACAAACATGGGTTACGTTCATCTATGAGGGTTTAAAATGAAGGCATGGATATTAACACTTAGGAAAACACTTGATGTATGTGTATAAGTATATTGCTTCTTCTGTTTATTTTGATAAATCATGATTATTCTCATTAAAATGTATTTGCATGTGACAGTTTCTCATAAAAATCTCTTACTATTATGTTATTGCAATTTCAGTACATGCAATATAAGTATGTTAACAACGACTTTGGTTTCTTTGGCAGATTATCTCAGGCTTGCAGAATTTTAATAAAGACAACATTGCTTCAGTGGTAACTGCTGCAGACAAGGTTTTATTTTCTCCAGCTCTGTATTAGTACTCTTTCTTCAGCTTTGCAAAATACTAGCTTCTATTTCTTATCCGCTAATCGAAACTTTTTAATCCTAGCTCTGAAATATGAAAATAGCAAAAAAGAAAAAGACTAGGGGCTAATCTTCTCGTGAAACATAATCAGGCAGAGACAACTGATTAGAGTTTGCTGGATATCTGGGTGATTAAGTCACTTTTCTCTATTAGATTTCCAAATTTACTGGCATGTTTTTTCTCCTTAATATGTTCATACTATGACAATTTGACTAAAGGGATCGAGGTTAACATAATCCTTATAGAAGTGTAACCGCATGGTTGTGTTTGAAGTTGGAATGTCGTTTGTGTCTGCATGAAATTATGATTATCCATCAAACGTTTGCTACATCATTTGCTTAGGCTTTCTCACTTGAAGTCTTTCACATTAACGACGCTGGTTCTGTATTGAAATTCAATATATTGTGCTACAGGGGGGAGCAACCCACGTGGATATAGCATGTGACCCAGAGTTGGTGAACCTAGCTATCAGCTTAACTTCTTGTCCGGTATATTCATACTGCTCTAGAGCGCACCTAAACCGTTTCCATAATATGTATGTGAAGTTGTGGACTTAGGCATAGGGTATTTTGAATATGGATATAAATCTAACAAAGTAAAATTAATAGTGACAGACAATTCTTGGTCATACATGATTTCGATTTTACTTTGTATGATGCTTGATTGATATTTTTTTTTCCCTATTCAAGCTTTTACAAATTGTTTTTATTGCTGATAAAATGCAGGAGTCCTAAGGTGGTTTATCCTGTATAGATAGATTTGTTTGATTTCTTTAAGGCCTTTTTGCACCGTGAATTGTTGGATTAACTTGTTCACCTCAGATTTGTCAGTCCAATAAATTAGCTAGTTACTGCATATTTGAGACAACTCCCTACTCATTCTCCTGGCAAACAAGTAGAAATTTCAGAATATAATGGTGAATCATTATGCACTTGTACTAGTGATTTAAGCTTTAATATTGGGATAGGTCAGATGGGGCAGAATTGAGACACTATTTACTTATCTTCATTCTTCAGGGCATTTGAGAGCTATAAAAAATGCATCCTTTTTATTCTGGCAGAGTCAAGAATAGATCAAATGTCAGTAGATTAATCAAAATCTTTCCTGCCTTGAGGAATTTACAATTGATCAATCTTGCAGGTATGTGTTTCTTCTATAGATCCTGCAACATTCCCAGCTGCAGTTGAAGCAGGAGCGCTAATGGTTTGATCTTCTTGCCTAGTTTCATCTGAATTATCAGTTCAAAATTAGCAGAATGGACTATTAAATTTACAGTTAATCATAATTGATGGTATTGACAGGTTGAGATTGGAAATTATGATTCATTTTATGAAAAGGACATGATGTTTACTCCAGAGCAGGTATAGAGCATACTGCACTATGAAAGCTAGAAATTTTTAAGAATTTAGAGCCTAAAGTCAAATAACTGGTCCAGGTCTTCTAGTGATCTGTTTGTTTTCCTTTTATGCAGATACTGGGTCTAACAAAGGAAACTAGGAGATTACTTCCCTCCATAGTTTTTGTCTGTCACTGTTCCTCACACACTGAGCCTTCCAGATCAGGTTACGAGTAACCCCATAACTGCAAGAGGATACACTGATGTTGATGCTATCAATATTTGCCTGCATCCCAGATAAAACAAAAATCTATATCCTTAACAGGTCAAGCTTGCTGAGTCACTGGAACAAGCAGGTGCAGATATCATTCAAACTGAAGGAGGAAAATGTTCAAATCCTACAAAGTCAGGTGTTCTAGGCTTGATTGAGAAGGTAACTTAAAAAAATACCTGGCAGATTATTACACATAACAGCAGATAAGTTGGAGTCTGAACACCATGTGTATATTCTAATGCTAATTTGACAGCTTAATTATCAGAAAGAAAATATTTGCTTCCTAGACATGAGTCTCTTCTCCGATCTTCGTTGCCTTGTCTCTCTTTACCAATTTGTGTGTGTGTGTGAGACAGAGAAGGGGGGGATGCATCCCAGTAGCTCATAAACCACAGAAAAATGATGGTTTTATCTCAAGCTGACATTTCATATCTAGAACAGATTCACGGACTAGTCCTTACTTATACCCAACAAGAGTCAGGATGCATAGGCAAATGATGTTCAATTGTGAAAAAACCTTAATTTATTGTTATTGTTGCAGGCAACGCCTACTTTGGCTGCAGCATATTCCATATCTCGAGCTGTCAGGATCCCTGTCCTATGTTCATCTGGGTTAAGTGCTGTCACGGCACCAATGGCCATCGCAGCTGGGGCTGCTGGTGTGGTATGCATTCATTTTCTTTTTAGTTTTCTTCCCGTTTCAATTCATATATCAATCAAAACTACACTCAAAACTAGGCCTTCAAGTGATGGGGTTTTAGCTTGTGTAAATAATTTAGGCAAGAATAACTCAATGTCATGGTGTACAGTACTTGCTGATCAACGTGGTTCTTAATCACAGGGCGTGGGGTCTGCAGTGAATAAGCTAAATGACGTGGTTGCCATGATAGCCGAGGTCAGAAGCATTGCTGATTCACTAAAGACACCCTTCCAGAGACAAGCAGCTGCAGAAGAAGAAACTCAGAGACTTTTTTAGGACTGGGGATTTATGATCCATGAATTAGGCTCAAGGTAGTGTTGTTAGAACTTAGAAGAGGATAGAACATGTGATGGTAATATGAATTCCCTAGAGGCTACAACAGGAATAAGAAGTTAAGATCTGCTATAATCTGTTTTACTTGTTCTCAAATTCTTGTATATGTAATGTAACTCCAAGCATAAAAATGCATGCATT